CGCGTTGCGTTGCTGCAATCATCACCTTTGTGAACGTTGGTGTTGGCGTCTAACCGCCAAAGAAGGCAGGCCGATCAGCTGCCGGACACGCAGTTGGTCAATTTTCGGAAGCACTTTAGGTGGAATCGGCCAAATCGAGGTTGTTTACCGCTTCGGGGGTTGCGTTGCAGAGTGGACTAACAGCCAGCGGCCACTCGCCGCTTGAAAAGCCGACCTTCCAACGCCGACGTGGCCGCGCTGTTGGGGCTGCCACTGGCTTACCGAGTCCCATGGCCGTCCAAGCCACAAAACGCTGATGGTGTTTGAATGGTTGGCGCGTTTGGGCACTTTCCACCACAAATTAGCACAGGTTAAGGGGCAGCTTTTGCGTCCGCAGGCATGCTTCGGACGGAAACGAGATGTCTGTCAGCTTAATTTCTTGTTCATCGTCAAGTCGGAGAGTCATAACTCTCTCCTCTTCCACGACTCTCCCTCCAACAGACCAGTTGTTGCAGAATGCTCGGAGACGTGGCTCTTGAAGCCACGAAATAAGCTCACTAGTTTGGTTGGCGTTGTAGTTTCTGTACCGGACTTGATAGCACCTTTAAGTCCTGACGATGGTTTCGCAAGTGGGCAACATCTGAGAAAGCACGGTGTACTTATCGATTATGGAAATGCGCGATATTGCGTAGGTAGTTGCGAGTTCTAATTGTTTCCCAAAAACGTTTACTAATTTGCGTTCTTGAAAATTTCGGACTTTGCCTGCCTCAGTTGGGTCTCGTTCATTTCGATTTCCCACTGTTTTATGCACAAACACTCGTGGATGCTCCAAATCCACCAACCACTCGACTCCGCCGTGCCCCTTCCAATGATCAGCAAGTCGGCAGAAATCTAGCGCCGCGGGAGAACGAACTCACGTCCTTTGAGTCGGATTTGCCGCCTTTTTTTCCGATTCCGTTCGCTTCAATCCGCTGCTTCTAACTTCTTCCCTCGGTATCGCATGAACACACACAGCACTTCAC